CTAGTGAGTGAATAAGAAGCAAGTAATAAAAGCTAACTGTGTCCTCGCTAGTGAGTGAATAAGAAGCAAGTAATGTTGGAATGCGGTGCAAGTGTTTGATTGGTTGTTTAATTGTGGAAACAATTGCCCATAAAGACCAAAATTCAAGTTGGGCAATGTTGATAATCACATAAAGTTTAAAGGGTCTATGTAACTAGAGAAGACACTTAAGGGCAAGCCACTTATAGATTGATCCCTGATTGAGATCAGGTTGTAGTCTTAACACGCCCTCTCACGTGTGAATGAAGTCGGAGCTAAAACATGGATAATTGGATCTGATATCATATTAGAATATAGGCCATTTAACTCAAAACCAATCGATACTGGGTTAAAATATCCAAGATGATTGAGGAAGGGAGGGGAGGGTCCAGTGAGAAGGTGGCATATGGATGTTATTCTAGATTATTGGATAGAATTATCATATCATTATTAATTCCATGTTCAGTGCTTTTGATATCACTTTTCCCTTGGAGACGCGTTAAACTAACACACGCAAGAACTTTGATATGGTCATCCATGACTGCCAAACCTCAACCACACCCGAATTAAAAAAAAAGGTAATTTTTTTTTCCCGATATTGACTTGGTCATGAGACTTTTCTTCACACTTCTCTTCTGTCCCTTGGGGATTTAATCAGCATATCCAGTTTAAGTTAAGGATGGTCACATCATTAAACTTTATTTTTTGGCCATGGTTTCCTCAACATTCAGATTATTGATCCTCTGTACACTACTTGCCTTACTCATTCTCATCGTCAATATTAATATCACTCATGCACAGCTTCAACCGCCTGCAATTCCATCAGCCGTCTGTGATAACAACAAAGGCAACTACACCACCAACAGCACCTACCAAAAAAACCTCAACGACCTCCTCTCCTCCTTGCTCTCCAACAACAACGGCTACGGGTTCTACAACTCCTCCCGGGGCCAAAACTCCGACACAGTATTCGCAATTGGGCTTTGCAGAGGAGACGTTAAGTCGGACGCTTGCGGTAAATGCCTCAGTGACGCCACCTATGCTCTCCCGGAGGCTTGTCCTGACCAGAAGGAGGCAATTGGATGGTCCCCAAATTGCATGTTACGCTATGCAAACCGCTCTATGTACGGCCTGCTGGAAGTTAATCCAGCTTACTCTGCGAGGAACACAGAGAACGTATCATCTGCAAGCTTGGATGCCTTTAATCAAGAGCTCACTGCCTTGTTCAAGAGACTTGGAAGCGAAGCAGCGGGGGGTGGCGATCTGCGTAAGTTTGCAGTAGGAAACGCAAGCGTTGGCTCGAATTCTAATATAACAATCTATGGACTTGCTCAGTGCACTCCAGATGTGTCGGAGGGAGAGTGCGCTACTTGCATAGATGGTGCTTTTGGGGTTGTCCCATCATGTTGCAGTGGATCAATTGGTGTGAGAATTGTTACACCTAGCTGTAACATAAGGTATGAGATTAGCCCCTTCTTTGACAGTACAAACGAGACACCACTGCCATCGCCCCCCTTAGCAACAACACCTGCCTCTGCCCCTCCTCCACCACCAGCCGGTGCCACGATTCCAGGAGGTATTGTGTATGTCATGTGTCCCATATTGATCATGCATTCATAGTCAACAAAATATGTGGTTGAATTTCTGATGTGAATTGGATTGAACATGAGGCAACATGAGTTTTCCATCCCATCATATTCTAAGTAACTACTCTGTTTTGGTGTTGTATTATCTTCTGCACAACAGGGGAATGCTAGTTTTAGATGCAAATGACTTTGTTGACAGATTTTTATTTTTATTTTGGTCTTATGCAAATGAATTTGTTTGGTTCCCTAACTTTTAATAAATGATCATAACTCTGAGTTATCTACTGTTACTTTGTACCTAGTGTAAAGATTTACAATAATCAAAATTCAGCCCTGTGAGGCTCCGATCAGAGAAACCATATTAATTTCTGATTTTTGCAGGAAAGAAGAGCAATACATCTCGCACTGTCATCATTACTGTTGTGACAATTGTTGTTTTCCTGCTGCTAATTATATCCATCTGCATTTATCTGAGATGGAAGAAGAGAAAGGAAAAACTTGAAGGTAAGTTGAGATAAGTCTGTCTTTGTAACTTCCGCTGAAACAAACTGACCTCTTGTTCATCTTTTAAGTATGCAATGAACTAATTTAATTTGTGTTACATTGTTTCTCATTCAAATATGAGAAGGAGATGAAATTGGAACAGAAGCCTTGCAATTCGACTTCAACTCCATTAAAGTTGCTACAAATAACTTTTCTGAAGCAAATAAGCTTGGACGTGGTGGATTTGGTGCTGTTTACAGGGTAATGAAACATCCACAATAAGGTTAGTTATGTGCCTACATGAGCAATAAGTTAACTTTCAGATTCTTCATGAATGCAGGGTAGGCTTTGGAATGAAGAAGACATAGCAGTTAAAAGGCTTTCTAGAGATTCTGCACAAGGAGATATAGAATTTAAAAATGAGGTTGCCTTAGTAGCTAAGCTTCAACATCGAAATTTAGTTAGGCTCCTTGGTTTCTGCCTGGAAGGAAATGAAAGACTTCTTGTGTATGAGTTTGTCCCTAATGCAAGTCTCGATAAGTTCATATTTGGTATGGTTGGAAACTTGGACTTCTGCTTCCATTTTGAAATGTATGACAAAAGCTCATCTTATGTGCCTCACATGCTTTCAAAGAGTACAAATATTAATTTTCCTTGACTATGCAGATCCAATCAGGCGCGCACATTTGGATTGGGATAGTCGCTACAAAATCATAGTAGGCATTGGACGGGGACTCCTTTACCTTCATGAAGATTCACGTCTTAGAATTATTCATCGTGATATGAAAGCTAGTAACGTTTTATTAGATGCAGAAATGCATCCCAAAATTGCAGATTTTGGCATGGCAAGATTGTTTGATCTTGATCAAACACAAGGTGAAACCAGTCGAGTTGTGGGGACCTAGTAAGTACAAGCATACTATACGGTTATAATTTGAAAATTCATGTGATTTAACAATTAGTACAAGAACTCAAAACAAGATAATTTGAACATAAGAGTGAAAGTTTTCATCCATGGTAACTAGAGTTAACCTTCTCATTGTTGATATGCAGCGGATATATGGCTCCAGAGTATGTAATGCGTGGACAATTTTCTGTCAAGTCTGATGTTTATAGCTTTGGTGTGTTAGTTTTGGAGATTATCAGTGGACAAAAAAATAGTTCTTTTCACCACGGAGGGCACGTGGAGGATCTTTTAAGCTATGTAAGTAACACAAAAGTTTGTGCTGTACATACTACTGCCATTGATTGCCACAAATTTTTTAAAAGAAAAGAAAAGTCATATCTGATTTTGTTTCTGCATATTCACAAAATTATGCAGGCGTGGAAAAGTTGGAAGGAGGGAACAGCTTTAAATTTAGTAGATCCTATGTTGAAGAATGGTTCAAGACCAGAAATAATGAGATGCATCCACATTGGACTATTATGTGTGCAGCAAACTATAGCTGATAGGCCAACCATGGCTGAAGTGATTCTCATGCTTACTAGCTCCTCTGTTGATAATCTCTCAGTACCTTCACAACCAGCGTTTTTCATGGATGGTGGTGGCATTGGATCCTCATCGGACATGTCGTTGGGGTGGGAAAATAGCTCGGGGGTGACAGGGTCCTATCCATCCAGAAGTGGCTCTGCCCAAAAATCTCCACATGAAGTTTAATTCCAATCCCAAGCTATCTCCTCTCTGCCAATGGATCATGATGGAATGAAATGCATTTATGATTTTTTTTTTTTTTTTTGTTTGTAGTTCATTTCATTGTCTTGGTAGGTTCTCATAAACTGGGGTTATGAATCACAATAATATTTGTTTTCCAATTTTCCAATATAGTTAAATTTTTTTTTGTGTGGCTAAGATAAGAACATTACAAGACGAACCTCCGAGCACAACTCAACTCTAAACAGTCAAGTTAAAAGCAGAAGTCACAACTGAAGGAATAGCTTAGAGAAGCAAAAGCGTTAGCCATAAAATTAGCTTTTTAAGAACTGGTGAATATCCTTGACCCTTTGGAATATCCAGCCCAGAAGCATTGAGAAGACCATCCTTTAGAGCTTGCCCTTCAAAAGCTTCAACAATATAATTCTTTACTAATTTTATTAGTTCGACAACTTAGAACAGTAATCCAACCCAAACATAACAATAGAAAATAAATAAAATGCCTAAAAATTGTTAAAAGAAAAAAACTTGGCACGTGCGAGCCCAAAAATAGTACATTGCAGTCCAACCCATTGCACTCCCCTCACTCTTCCGTACGTGCGACCCCACTTCAATGTTTCGAGTTTCCAACTGAACCCATTGTATAGGACTAGTCCAATGGGAGAGAAGAAATAATCCACCTTGAAGAAACTTTTGCAAAATCATGTACATGTTTTCGCATGAAAAGTTAATTGTTCGGATCAAGTTTTATCGAGTCAACTTTGTAACAAGTTGACATAACTCTCGAGTTAATGGATCTGTTTCCCTTTTGTTAATCCAATAATTAAGGTCTTGGTTAGTCCAAACACATCAGATTTGGAGGTCCAAAGTATGTTTTATTGGACAATCATTGATTTATTCAATTTGTTTTTTTCCGGACATTGCCTTGATCTTATTTTGGTTAGTACTGTATTGCTAGTGAGTTGTAAATTTAGTCAAGATTGTAAGTTTAAAGCCCTAGTCTAATTTTTCATAAATAAAAATAAAGCCTTAGGGTCAGTTTAGGATTGCTCTCACTTTTAAAAAGTTGATTATATTGTGCTTTGAAAATACTTAGTTGTAAAGTAAAACAACTCCATGTTTGGTAAACGATATTTTAAAGGTGTTGTTAGTACAAAAAGCAATGGCAAAACATTTGGTAAATTTTAATATAAAACTATTTAAAATAATGAATAAAATAGACATGATATTGAAATTTGAAAGTGTTATGCACTAATCATGTGATGGTAGTGGTGGTGGTGGTTGTGATAGTAGTGGTGGTGGGGATGGCAGTTGTGGAGGTGGCGGTGGAGGTGGATGAGCTGGTGGTTGTTTTGGTAGCGGAGGAGGAGGAGGATGTGGTGGTGGTGGTGGTGACGGTTAGATTGGGAACTAAATATCACAAGAAGTCATTGTAAATATCATCTCTCTTTTTCCAACCCGTCATCTAGTTTCCTTCAGAAGTTCTAAGGGAATTTCAATTATTGCTAAACTAAAGTTTCAGTCTTTGTTGTATCATGGAAGTGGTTTGTCTAAGACCTGTTAGCAAACTCATTACTGAGTAGTGGACAAATATCACTTTAAGGAAAACGTAGTAACCTACCTCAAAGACAAATTTTATGAAAGGACCTGACCCAAATTCCACTTTAGAATCCGGGCCGAATCCGGTTTATAACTGACACCTGGTGGGTGTGGGTCACAAATGACCAAAATGCCCTAGAAACAATAACACAACTCAAAGGCTCTAACTCGTGGCTGCACCTTATAACTGTAGGCTGCCTACGTACTCTTACTGAGAGATCAAGCCACATGTAGTTCTTTCCTCTGTTCCTGATCTGCAAACTGGCAGGCCTTGGAGATACTGCTTTTATCCGGGCCGCAACCTATAACTAACTATATGCTCATCCCATAACAGGATTTAGATAACTCCTTTCGGTTCGTACTTGTTTACTGTAAACCTAGCTCTAGGACTGGCGTTTCTAAACATGACTACGATCCGACGGCTCAAACATGCTGAACCCGAAAATCACACACTAAGCGAGATCCGTTCGGGGTTCAAACGTTATCCGAATTAAGATCCACGAAATTCTACGCACACGTGAGGACTAATGGATTATTCTAGGACTGATTGTGGTCCCCACCCTGCTGCCCAAGCGCCACCACACGTTTCGGCAGCGCGTGGTGCCTAAAGCGATAAAGCTTCGCCGAAAAATCTCCAAATCACGGCTCAAGACTCCTACCCTAGGTGTAACACTCTAATTGGAGCCACTTTTGTTCTTGGACCTATCCCAAAAACTGGCCAGATGTGGCCGGAACTATGCTCCCAAAACTGGTCAAACCCTAACTTGAAAATTAACCTGCCAAACCTAGAAATTCCTCAAATCCTACCAAACCACCAGCTAGAGCATGAAAAATAGCTAGAAAACCATATCTCACTCGTCTGATTTGGTGGTTGGACGACGGAGAACAAGAGCTTGAAAGTTCTGTCAAAACCAGAAACTTTCTTCGTGTTTCCCGAAGATTTCGCGGCGGCTGGCGTCGAATCTGAGTCGGGGAAAGATGCTGGAGTGGCGGCGGAGTGATCCGGTGGCTTGGGTTGAAGGTTGGTGGCGGCTGGGCGGTGATGTCGGTTTGGCTGGGGGAGGACGCACGGGAAAGAGGGTTGCGGGAGATAGGAGAGACTGCTTGAGAAGAGAGAGAAACTGAGGTTTAAAATTCTGACTTTTCAAAATTATCGTTTTGCCCTTCTAAGTAATTTGGTCGTATCTCTCTCGTTACAGCTCGAATTTGAGCATACTATATGTCTACGGAGTCATCTCACTGCGCTCTACGCAACGGTATAACTGAAATCCCCAAATTCCTTCCTGGTCAAAAAGTCAACTTTAAAATCATCTAAAAATACTCCGGGGGTATTATAGTCTTTTCATTGAATAAAATAATAGTTAAAAATTAATTTAAGGATCGGGTTGTTACATTTTATGTTTATTCTCAATCTAATTTCTAATAGTGGTGGCAGTGGCAGAGGAGGTGGTAGTGGAGGTAGTGGAGTTGGATGTGGAGGAAGGTGGTGCCATTTTTAAAAATTAATGATGGTATTTTGGGAATTAAAAAAATTCATTAAAGGCTCATCTCTGTTTTTTTAAAGCAACAATGAAAAGCAACCCAGAACTGACTTTCAAAAGTTACTGTCAAAAGGCCACTGCTTTAAAAATAATAAGGATATTTTATTATTACCAAACACCTTTAACTGCTTAACTTTAAAGTGAAGCAACTTTTTGGTGAAAAAAAAAAAGCAATCTCGACTGATCGCTTAGTTCCTTTTCGAGAGAAATTCTTATCTGAGCAAAAATGATCGGTCACCTGCACTTGTGTCCGGTTTTATTTGCCTATGAGGAAAAGAGATCGACCCTCACTCAAAACCGATAGATCAACTGCCCTATTTTGAATTGTTTTTGTTACGTTTTCTTCTTCCTTCATTTTCATTTACTTATTTCTTTTTCCGGTTTTGTTTCATATCATTTTGTTTGTGTTTATTTTGTGGTCTTTACTAACTCAAACTAATTTGCATCGATTATTGTTACACCAGCACATACAATGCAAGAGCCACCAGACACAAAACCATAGAGAGCGTTGACGTTGGCATACCAAGTCGATCACCATTGTCATGTGCCGAAAACCACGTACTGCTACCTATCGACAATCACCAAACCAGAAAGTAGAGTATCCAGGGCATCAGATTTGTCAAAACACCAATCTTTCTTGGCAAAACTCAAAGATAGGCGAACCACAGAGATCCAAAGTAGATATAGAGACTCCCACTTACAAATAAATAAATAAAACCCAAAAAGGCAAAAAGGGAGGGGAGGGACTAGTAGAAGGAGTGTGGGAGGAAGGGAGATGTGAGGGAGGGAAAAGGAAGAGGAGAAGAGGGAGGCTGAGTCAAACAAAGTAGGGAAATATTCAATTATGCTCATATTATTATTCTTCTCCAATATTTAGGTATTTCTATAAGTACAATGATGTGTTAATCCTAAATAAAATAGGATACTTGACATTGACCAATTGAACAACTATAGAGAAGGCCTTGTCATAAACCACGAGTGAAACATCTAAAAAACCCTAACAAATAAGGCACATAGAAGAACACATAAAACTATAACACAGAAACCTTGTGATAGTAGGTAAGGCAGAACACAGAAACCCTATAAGCACAATAGTAGATAAGGTAGAACATAGAAATCATGGAAGCATGACAATAGATAATGCAGAACACAGAAATCCTGTGAGCATGGCAGTAAATAAGGCAGAACACAAAAACCCTGTGAGCACGGTAGTAGGTAAGATAGAACACAGAAACCCTATGAGTACTACAGTAGGTAAGGCAGAAGCAAAGACAAAGGGCACAGCCACAACAATAACAACGACAATGACCACATCAACGGAAAGTAAAGCAAGCAAAAGCAACGTCAATGGTGGCAAAAGCGGCCACGACAATGACAATAGTAGCGGAAAATGGCAACCACAAATTCTTCCATATTAACTTTAGCTAATTCATGCAGACACAGCTTCTCTTCACTCCCTTCTCTGCTTGAAGAGAATGGGTCGTCGAAGTCAAGAAATAGGCAATAACTTCATGGGAATACGTCAAGGTAATGAGGATACGTCAATAAATATATCATTTTCATTCCCCCTCCCCCCCTTAAAGATGAGGGGAGGAAAGCACTTAAATTGCAAGAAGAACGCAAGCACAGGTCACAAGAGAACCTAGCTCTGATACCAAGTCAAACAAAGTAGGGAAAATATTCAGATATGCTCATATATGCTCATTTTATTAAATATCTCGAATATGGAGATATTTATACAAGTACAAATATGCGTTAACCCTAAATAAAATAGGAAATATATCTAAATTACAATAGGAAATAAATCTCTATTACAATAGGACTAAATAATAATTGGTAAGTAATCAAAATTCTAACTAAATAAGGAACCAAAATCCTAACTAAGTAAAGACTCTCCAACAGGCTGCTAACCCCAAAGGGGGGCGGCGACTAGAAGTCCTGACTCTAGGGTTTTTTTTTTCTTTTTGCTCTCCCTTCGAGAGGGCTGTTTCCAAGTTCAAGCAGTAGTCAACTTTGGGATTGGTTAGGTATGTTTTTTGATGCGATGGGTACCTTAATTGTTGAAACAATTGCACATAACGACTAAAATTCAAGTTGTGCAATGTTGATAATCACATAAAGTTTAAAACAATTACCCAAAATTAAAGTTGTGCAATGTTGATAATCAAAATTCAAATTGTTTCTCGCTCTATTCGCCCTTGACAACCCGAAAGGCATATTATCTTTGTCTTTATTCTTCCACCCAGGAACCCAGATATTGAAGAAAAGTTTCCTTTCTCTTCTTTCTCTTTGGACGCTGAAACTTTCATTAGAAAAGGCAGAAAAGATATTTAAAAAAATACAAGGGGAGAGATGAGGTTGAACAAGATAGGATAAAAGATAAACTTTCATGTGACTGAATATTTCAGACTCTCTTTGAGTGAAACCGCCCACAAACACACAGCCCATAATTAGGACTGCACCGTAATGTTACACAGAAAGAAAGGTCAAAATAAACTAATACGAGAGGGGGTTGAAAGCAAAACGTTTTCTCTTACTTTTGAATTAACTAGTACTGAATTGAATTGCCGCGTCATGATTAAATCGACCTTATCAGCTCTCTTCTTACCTTTTCCCTGTTTATAGCTCTTGAGTTGTGCATCACTCTGGTGTATCTCGCTTACCTTTTGGGAGTTTGATTCAATGAAATTCTGTAGTTGACAAAAAATTAAAATTAAAAAACAAAAAGAGAAGAAAGAAAAGCTCACGTGTTAAATGCATAAGAAGTTGGATACGGTCATCCGTGGCTGCGAAACCTCAACCAAATCGTGGGAAGAGTCATGATTCAAATTTTAGAGGGCCAAAATATTAACATGTACCAAATATATTGAGCTATAAGAAAATAAAGAAGATTGTAGTTAGAACAAAGTAAATTATGGTACAATTTAAAAACTAAAGACTTGAACAACACATATCGAGTGACATAAGAGTACATGTGGCTATATTGTCATGGGACTCAACAAGTGGATTGCCTGATTTGATACTATAAAGGAAGTTGAGGTTCCACCCCAATACCAAGACAATGTACGTAGAGACTCCTTATAAACCCATGTTATTAGATCTCTTAGGGCTGGTTTGGTAGGGAGGACTAGATTAGACTAGAAATATGTCTACATTTCATGTGCATTGAAGGCATAAGAGCATCTACAATCATGCTCCCTCATTTTTTAATTAAAATTTAGCTAAAAATACACAAAAGTTATTTTAGGAGCTCTCTATGAAATTTGAACTCTAATTATACTCCTTAGTTTAGGGAGTCATAAACACTATAGTTATTTTTTAATTCAATATGATTGATCCATCTCTATAAAAAATAATATATAAAATTAATTAGTGTTAAGTAAAAGGTTGATGGGACTATATGGATTGCCTAACCTGAAGGAAGAATTGGGACTATCTATAAAAGGTTGATGAACTAAGACTTATCCCCATAATCCCCTTGAAATTGGTTGGATTATGAGGGATAAGTTTTAGTCATCAACCTCTTATGAATAATCCTCATTCATCCTCCAAGTTAGACAACAATATACATATTATATCTTGATTGCACATAAAATGTAGGTATTTTGCTAATCCAGTCTAATCCAGTATAGTCCTCTTCAACAAAAGAGGCCTTAACTTTCAATGTAAGCCAATATTCTCAACAAAAACACGCATAATCCTTTTAATATTATAAATCCATTGCATTGATTGGAAAAATAAACATTAAGAAGCCCATGAGATTATTCCTCACACTTTGGCTTTGTCCCTTGGGTTTTTAATCAGCATCGGATTCACGTCATTAATCTTTATATCTTAGCCATGCTTTCCTCAACATTCAGATTATTGATACTTTGGACATTATTTGCGTTACCTATCATCATCAATATTAATATCACTCAGGCACGGATTCAACCGCCTGGAATTCCTGCAATCTTCTGTGTTAGCAGCAAAGGTAACTACACCACTAACAGTACCTACCAGCAAAACCTTACTGACCTCCTCTCATCATTGCTTTCTAACAGCAACGGCTACGGGTTCTACAACTCCTCCCGTGGCCAAAACTCCGAGACAGTTTACGCAATCGGGCTTTGTAGAGGAGATGCTAAGTCCGATGTTTGCGGTAAATGCCTTAGTGACGCCGCCTATGTTCTCCCGGAGGCTTGTCCTAATCAGAAGGAGGCAATTGGATTTTACAGACGTTGTATGTTACGCTACTCAAACCGCTCCATGTTTGGTTTAGTGGAAGTTAATCCTGCTTTCTCTGTGAGGAAAGTAAAAAAAGTATCATCTACAAACTTGGATGCGTTTAACCGAGAGGTCTCTGCCTTATTAAATGCACTAACAAGCGAAGCTGCTGGGCGTGGTGATCTTCTTAAGTTTGCAGTAGGAAATGCAAGTGTCGGCGCAAATTCTAATGTAACAATCCATGGACTTGCTCAGTGCACTCCAGAGTTGTCAGAGATAGAGTGTACTAATTGCTTTAATGTTTCGTTGGGGGCTATCCGAACATGTTGTAGTGGATCAATGGGTGCGAGAGTCGCCACACCTAGCTGTACCATAAGGTATGAGTCTCACCCCTTCTTTTACAGTACAACTCAGATACCATGGCCCCTTGCAACACCGGCCTCTGATTCTCCTCTGCCACCACCTGCCAATCACACGGTTCCAAGAGGTATATTTTTTATGTCCCCTTAGGCTTTGAAAGTAACCAAACTTGTGGTTGACTTTCTGATGTGAATTGGATTGAACATGAGGCCAACATTAGTTTTTCATCCCATCATATTCTAATAGTAACATCGCTGTTTTTATTTTTGTAATATCTTCTTCTGGACAACAGGGGAGGGGAAGGTTTATTTTCTTCTAGTTGTAGATGCAAATAACATTGTTTATTTACTATTTTTTTGGTCTTATGCAAATGAACGTTTTGGTTCCCAAACACTAATAGATGATCATAACTCTGAGTTACCTAGTGAAAGGATTTAACTGAATTACCCCATGATGCTCCGATCAGAGACGCTAGATTAATTTCTGATTTTTGCAGGAAAGAAGAGTAATATATCTCGGACTGTCATCATTACTGTTGTGGTACTTGTCGTTTCTTTGTTTCTAATTATATCCATATGTATTTATCTGAGAGTGAAGAAGAGAAGGGAAAAACTTGAAGGTAAGTTGAGATCAGTTTTTCCTTATAGCTTTCCCTGAAACAAACTGACCTCTTGTGAACTTTTTAATTTGTGTCACATTGTTTCTTATGCAAATTTAAGAAGGAGATGAAATTAGAAGTGCAGAAGCCTTGCAATTCGACTTCAACTCCATTAGAATTGCCACAAATAACTTTTGTGAAGGAAATAAGCTTGGACGTGGTGGATTTGGTGCTGTTTACAGGGTAATAAAACATCCACAATCGTGTTGGTTACGTGCCTAAGCGAGCAGTATAAGTTAACTTTCAGATTCCTCTTGAATTATGCAGGGTAGGCTCTTGAATGAAGAAGATATAGCAGTTAAAAGGCTTTCTAGAGATTCTACACAAGGGGACATAGAATTTAGAAATGAGGTCGCATTAGTAGCCAAGCTTCAACATCGAAATTTAGTTAGACTCCTTGGTTTCTGCCTGGAAGGAAATGAAAGACTTCTTGTGTATGAGTTTGTCCATAACGCAAGTCTCGACCAATTCATATTTGGTATGTATATATATGCATGCGTTGGAATTCTGTTGCTTCCAAAACGAACAACAACAAACATCATTAATACAAAATATTATTTCTCCATGAGCATGCAGATCCAATCAAGCGTGCACAATTAGACTGGGATAGGCGCTACAAAATCATAGTAGGCATTGGGCGAGGACTTGTTTACCTTCATGAGGACTCTCGTCTTAGAGTCATTCATCGTGACCTCAAAGCTGGTAACATTTTGTTAGATGCTGAAATGAATCCTAAAATTGCAGATTTTGGCATGGCGAGATTGTTCGTGCTTGATCAAACAGAAGGGGAAACCAATCGAATTGTGGGGACATAGTAAGTACTAGACCATGATATATATATATATGTGTGTGTGTGTGTGTGTGTGTGTGTGTGGGGCTTGTAACGGTGTTTGGCTTTACCAATAATTTCGGTGTTTGGCTTTACCAATAATTTCCAAGTTTACAATGATCCGTACCATAAACTTTGTAAGAAATATCCTGACTACTCAAAGACTTAATTATACAAGTAATCACAAGAAATAAGATACTTTGAGCATAAAGATGAAAATTTCATCTAGGTTAATTAATACTTTTGTCGATTTACTTGTAGCGGATATATGGCTCCAGAGTATGCGATGCATGGACAGTTTTCTGTGAAGTCTGATGTTTATAGCTTTGGTGTGTTACTTTTAGAGATAGTAAGCGGACATAAGAATAGTGCTTTATGCCACAGAGGGGATGTGAATCTTTTAAACTGTGTAAGTAACTACGTCTGGTTATTATTGCAATTGAATACACGCATGTATGAAGTAAGAAAAAGTATGACTGATTTATTTTTATTTTTTTTGGGTCAAGTATGACTGATTTGTTTTAGCACGTATGAAATCTTGCATGCAGGTATGGAAAAGTTGGAAGGAAGGGGAGAAAACTTCAAATTTAATAGATCCCACCTTGAAGACTGGTTTAACAACTGAAATAATGAGATGCATCCACATTGGATTACTATGCGTGCAACCGAATATAATTGAGAGGCCAACCATGGCTTCAGTTGTTCTTATGCTTACTAGCAACTCTCTCACTCTCCCAGTACCCTCGCAACCATTTTCTGTGATTCAGCCGGAAACACCAACAAAGGTTATTCGGTCAAATCCTTCCCAAAACAACTCTGTCCAAAAATCAGTAAATGAGGCTTCATTCACCGAACTATTTCCTCGTTAGTGCTCGATTGTCGTTGTGGGCTGACTACTCATCACTGAATGATATCATATGATGAGACAGATCAAGAGAAGGAATACTTTGCGTGTAATATATTTCCGTTGATGTATGATTTAGCAGAAAAATTAGACATAGAGAGAGGGGGAGAGATTTAAATAAACATTACCTAGTTGCTATTGGTCGATTTCAAAAACTTCCCCTTAATTAGGTCTTCCAAAACAAAGGATATCCTGTGTGGACCACAATATTCAGGACCAATTAATCAATCATCAAGAACATTAATAAGCTTGCAAATCCATCAATTAAAAGAAACATATATAATCCAATTGCATTAATGCCTAAATATATATGCTATAAGTTACAAAAAGAGAAGCATAAAGTACTTTCGTCGTGGCTCCCCTGAGCGCCAGCTCCGCCCCTGTCGACGACAAGTCTCTTGTTCTCCATGTGAATTTGCCGCAGGAGATGAAGTCGTGTGCTGCGAATATCTTCACACAACTCGTCTTACCATCATTTGATCCTTTGATGAAAAGCTTGATGTCTCTTCGACGACCAGAGTCTACCGAATGACAATGGAACCACACGTTGACCTGATCCGCCTGCGCTTCTGAGGCAGCAGTTGAATCGGGTCAGCGTATTCGCCGTCTGAATCTCCGGTTGGACACTATTTTAACTCTAAAACCTCATCGGTGAGGTTCACAAGTTCAGTCTGACGAGAGAACATGGAACCCATATTAATTTGCTCTATCAAATATGTGTGTGCCCAACGGACGGATGGTGATCAATATGCAGCTTCCAAACTGTGAGATATACTCGCATTCTCAGTTCTATGTCACCCACCAAGGTCAACTGACAAACTGTTTCTAAAAGGCCAACCGTTTGCACTAACGTCAACATAAGGTCATCTTTCAATCAAAATATGATCTAAACATTTTAAAGAGGAAGCCGCCATGGCATTTTCTTTAGACGTGTAGTCGCCATTCTTAAGTACGTCATATGGCACGAGTGAGACTTGTGAAACTTATGTTTCATTTTCTAAATAAAAAATATTAATAAATTTGACTTTCCTCCCTCAACATAAATGCGCATTGAGAGGTCGGTATTATTCATTTGCATAAAATTAGGAGATGTAAAACAGTCAGCGACTAAAAAAAGATCTAGTGGCTTAATTTGTAAATAAATCAACTTACATGAACTCATTGTCATCCAATTTTAAAATTAGGAATTAGATTTTACTTAAATGGGGTATTATTGTTGGGTTATTGTGTATGATTCTTGAGTTACAATGGCTTATTTTAGTATGACCCATAATAAAAAAATACAGTCGAAGAGGGAGAAATCGAATATATGACCTTAGACACGATAGTAAAATATTTTTAAGTACTTAGCTACAAACCCCTTTTGTTATTAAAACTGTAAGTAGCGATCAATTCTAGGTTCATGAACTAAACGAAACTTCTTGGTTTATAACATAACCATACTAATATTTAAGAGTTAACTAAATTGTTTACTAATCTGTCTGTCTACGCTTTTGATCAACTAAACACTTGTAAAATATATTTATTTTAAAATCCATTTTTGATAGAAAGCAAGACCCAATTCCCATGTGGGCCGACTGGTCTGAAATTTTCATGTAATGAGATCGAAATAATTGAACGGCCGGTTCAAATGTTAGAGCTGGGCTTATGGTAATTTCAGAAAAGCCCCATCCATTTCAAGTTAGCTTTCTATTTTTTTACTTCTCCATTTTCTCTTCCTTTTCATTCTTTCCTTTTTAATTTTTATTTTATAAGCAATAGTCTAAATTACTTTAAATTAATATAAACTAATTGAATAGTAATGACTATATTAAGAGTGCTACTAAACGAACCCTAAAATTAACTGAGTACATCCTACTACCAAACTATTTATTGAATTACTAATTTAAATTATGAAATAAATATAATTTCAATAAGTACATCCTACTCACAATATTCAACCCTAATCAAACGTAGAGAAGTTTTGATGGCTTAAGCAGCAAGTTCGGCAACGAATATTTCATAACCTTGATAATATTTCGTTTTTGCTCCGCTATTTTAGGAGCTCAACATTCACCTCTTCTTTTTCCATTTGCAGTTACTGTGTTGCACCTGTGGCTATATTTATTTTTGGAACTCTATGTATATTTCTGAATATATATAATTAAAAATCAGGTATATTCTTGAAATAATTCTGTCAGCAGAGGATGCAGGTCCATTACGTAAAGTTAGCCATCCCCACCCCATTGTGCAGAGTCGTACACACGAGACTTCCCTCGTGAAGTGAAGGACGAACTTGACAACACATGCAGATTCTGGTCCCAGGTCTCAGCACATATATCTTTGGTCCACATGCAAACTCCAATCTTAGGTAAAGTCTTCATCCCATCGATAAAATTGTACCTATTCCTTGCTGGGGTAGGGCGGCTTAGTTATTTCTTGAACTGAAGCCAACTTTTTTTATTTTATGTGCTGAATTAAGAAAATTATCTCTTATTAAGCCTAATTCTTTAATAATACTCAGAAAGTCGCATTCATTCGAATTCTTATTTATGAAATCTGTCGATGCACAAAATCATATAAATCATTACATATTAAATGACGAGCATGAAAACATGGTAAACTTGATTGTTGGTTCCAATCTACTTGGATAACCCTATAGCTCAAAGCTACAACTGTTGAACTTGAAGTCCTAGAATTGGGTGCAGATGCTCATACACTTGGCGCCTTCACAAACCCTAATGCATTTACCAGTGTTGACGTCGGATATCGGGGGTGTGCATTGAAGAGATTTCTTGCAAGGAATGGTCCAGCAACCCACAATCACGATGACGGCAAAGCTTGTAAACAGACCCATACAAATTACATAGTAAAAATCACGTAGATGATTTGTAACAACAGGCATGACCCTCCGCCTTAGTTCCGATTCATGCTTAATTCCTACAGTCATAGGATGTTGAATTTTCGTCGTATCCCAGTACGATAATATTTTAGCCTTCAGCCGTTGATCTGAAGGTGAAGTTTCTAGCTTGCTCAGATCACTTTCCAATTCAATGAGCTCACTCTTGGTTTGGTGTCTCTGCATAACGCATTTTTTATATTTGCTTCCAACTACAAGCAATGAAACCAAGTTGAGTATGGCTGCTATCAGAGAGAGGCTGAAAAGGAACCAGCGATCTGAGCATCTGAGCGCTGTGGTGGCAGTGACGATAGGCCCCAAAATAAGTCCTTGAAAGACGAAGTAGTAGTTTGCAAGGTTGAAGGCGCTCGTTTGAAGTTGATTTACTTGATCATCCTGCTTCTCAATTATTGTTTGCAGCTCCTGTTTTCTTTTATCCATGTTTTCTTTCTTTTCTTTGTCACCATTTGGCGGACATGGATGGGTGTCCATTAATCTGCAGCACGCTCAAAGTAAGAGAGCTAGAGAGATAAGAATACAGAGAGTCTTAAAGTCCCCTCCTCGTCCATGCAACTTATATACACAGAGGTAGTTCTGTTGGCTTTTTGAATAAGCCAGTACACTCACTCTCACACTCAGCTCCAACGGGGTAGTACATAGTGGAAACGATATGTCGATACCCTAGGCACCATGTGTGTGAATAACCCCTCCCCATTCCTACCTTTGATAAATAAATAATAATAATAAAAAGTCAAGATTTTTTGGTGCAGGACGTCTGTCCATTGTTAAAGGACGGATTTTGCATTGATAATGTTGTCGAGCACGCCGGATCAACCCAAAAAACAGATGAGAAAGATAGCGGAGGAAAGTTGCTCGCTCGCAAACTTACTGCATCTCTGTTCATAAGTGTGAACATATCTTTGGCAAAATTTACATTGTGGGAAGGGATTTACACTCGAACCTTCTTTTGCGTTACAGATCACCCACACACAAGATTTCTACTCTGTAATTCAATTATTTCAAGCGTGTGTAGTGGAGGGACCCCTCTATTTTGTCTGAAATGATATTTCGCAATTATTTCAAGCGTACCACCAAGGCCCACCCCAGAGAGAAATTGTACAATAATACTGTGCTAAGTGGTAGTACGGACCAATAAAATAACAACATATTTGCTTCTCAAGGAGAAACCAAAGAGTTGAAAAAAAAAATTGCAGAAATTTGGACAGTGAGGAGGAAAGGTGCTATTTGGTGCAGTATTTACCATACAATTTTCCAAGAAGGTTTCAAGGGTGACTTTAACGCAAGTATCAAACGGACGTTAGCTCCTTTCTTCTTTTAGTTGCAGCTGTCCAGTTGTCAGCATTTCATTCATATGTACTACTACCTGGCAAATGCCATGTGGTAGTACAGTATCATTGTATAATTTCTCCTCTATCAGAGCCTTGACCATGAAGGGCTCTTACTCAAACGTTAATAACGACATTTATAATGTATTTTAGGAGCTGAAACCATTGTTGAAACCCTAGTAGTCAGTGCGGATGCTTATGTTTTTGTCCCAAACGTTTATAAGGGATAGAATCTAGCTAGGATAGCTAAGAACGTTCTACGTACATAAACTTAGTTTTTCTCCCAAACTATTTGAATAATTATTCCCATGAGCTGAAACCATTGTTGAAGCCCTAGTAGTCAGTGCAGATGCTTTTGCACTTGGCTCCTTCACAAAACCTAATGCATTTATCAATATTGGATACTGGGTGCTTACATTTATCAGCTTCCCTGCAAAGAATGGTCCAGCATCCCACAATCACGATCAGACCCATGCAAATTACAAAGTAGAATTTACGTTACGATCTGCACAAGGGTCAACAAGGAGGATCCTTCTATGCCATTGTTTCGGTTATTGTCTGTGCTTGTAGGATACTCAGAACCAACCTGTTTCTTTCCGGAACTTTGAGGTTGAGTTTGATCTGATTGTTCCAATTCTTTACCAGAAACTTTTGGTTGTGTTGAACTCTAAGTTAAAGAGAAAACTCTTGCATTTTTTTGTAACGAGAATTTGGATTAAGAGTCGAACGATGTCAAGAAAT